GAGAGAGAGAGAGAGAGAGAGAGAGAGAGAGAGAGAGAGAGAGAGAGTCTCGTGAAGAAGCATTGCAAACGGTTGAAAGTTAGAGCGCATGTGGTTTTATTGAGTTAATAATATTTGGATGCAACCATTTGAAACATTTGAAACTTTAATACGGTTTCAAACGAGTCGACTTTTTGGTCATTCATACATATCTCACTCGAGTGGTGGAGAGAAGAAGGCTTGTGTGTGATTTTTCGCTTGAAAGACGGACATTAAAATGCCAAAAATCAATTCCGAAATGTATGCAAACCGTACGCCTATATTATTCAGTGTGTGTTGGCCCCGGGAATTATTCAAAAAAGGTAGTGCTCGCTTTTGAGTGACGCTAGACAAAGAGGAGTAAATCCGTTGTCCACTCACTTCTATCTCTGGTTTTTTTTTCTGTGTGCTGTGTTGCTCGATTCAGTTCTGTGTGTGGATGTGACAAAAAGTCAAATGACACCAATTTATCCGTACAAAAGACACACACACACACACACACTGCTAGCAAAACAGGGAGAGTGAAAAAGAGAGGGAGACAGAGAGATAAATATGTATACAAAAGAGTCGACGATTCGAAAGTATGCGAATTGAATACTAAAATTATAATTTGCTACTCAAGAATTACTAATCTCTTCGTTAAATGTAGGCACACACACTGATTAATCGTTCGTCTGACAAACCATTGCACTCACAACAACAACAACAACAACATCAGCAGCAACGATGTCGCATGCTACTTTTTACTGTGAGAAACATTCTCAAGACAATGAAAATCTAACATACATTCGTATATCCAACAGATATTCGTTTACCATCTCACTCATTTACGCGCTCTCTATCTCTGCCCGTGTGTTTGTTTTCTTCACAATTGTCGCTCACGCGTTTCCTGCAGATATAAAATGTGCGCGTGTATTTTGTTGAATATCATTTGAATCTTAGGCTTTTTTTTTCGAAATATTATACGTTTTGGTCGATTGAACTGCCTTCTTCTCCAAAAAGACGAAAGAAAAACGAACAAATACACCGAATGAAAGCGTCTCTTGTCCATTTCATTTTTCCCATTCTTTTTTTTCTCTGATTAATTAGAATTTTCGTTTGCGTTTCGTTAATTTTAGAGTTTTTCCGTTACCTTCCATATAATTAATTATCCGTGTTCTTTTCTCGTTTTTCTGGTTAAATTTTAATTACTTTTCAATCGAAAAAAAAAAATAGAAATAAATTTTAATAAGAAGCTGTAGTAAGGAAACGAGGGGAAAAAACCAAGACACGTAACATCCTTCTGGGCGTGTATAAGATTGGAAATCATTTCATTTCCCTTCACATGAGTCTTTGGCCATTCTATCTATATCATTGTGTGTGTGTTTTTTCTTTACTTTTCGGAGAATGTCTCATTTCTCAACCCTTTAATCGAATATGTTGATAATATTTTCAATTTTTATTTTCTGTCACTCTCGTGCCGTTCGTCTTATCTTTTAATTCTCTAAACACAAATCATTTACAGTTTAAACTAAAAACCAACAACAACACATCAAGAGAACTTTTAATTCGTAGTCAAACACATAAGACACGGTGAGTGTGGGAGTGGAAGAGTGAGATTAAGAGAACGAAAGAAAAATCCGCTTAAGGACCGTGTGCCAAGTTCAATAAGTTTCAATTCATGTCATCGAAGACAGAGTGAACGTATATAATGTACGTTGTTGTCGGTTGGCTGTCGCGCGCATACATATATGCGTGTTTTGTGCCATATATCACCGACACACAAATTTAGTTTCGATGTCACTCTAGTGACTATCTGATGATTTTCAGCGTTTTGGAATGCCTTTTCAAAAGTAAATGGGTTATTAAATTTTTTATTCAAATCAATTATTCATTAAATAGTTTCGTGCATCATATCTCCTGAATCGTGCGCTCACAAACCGCGTCTATGCTACGCACTTTAAGCTCATTGTGATAATTAATGAAGAAAGAAAGAAAAAAAACATAAAAGAAATCAACCAATATAAGAATAGACGAACATTTTATCCGATCAACACGAGCAATCCGAATTTGTTCTTACCCGTTTCTTTTTGTTTTTCGTTCTTTTGACTCATTACCGATTCATACAATTGCGTTTCATTCACATGTTCGATTTTTTGTTTGAAACTCCTTTTAATTTTATATAATAATAAATATATAAAATTAACATTAACTTTTAATGATCCACTAGATAAGACCAGAGAAAAAAAAAAGTCAAAAAAGTGCTTCCGTGTGATGGAAAAAAAGAGGGAAAAAAAGAATTTAATTGGAAAACATGAAGAAAACATTAAAGTTGTGATACATTTTTTGGTCCGTGTTCTTTTTTGTTTGAATTTTTCAACATATTCAAATTAGTGGAACATACGTATGGAAAAGGGGTGACTTTATCTCTGTCACCGGATTATACCGGCCAAAGAGAATGGTCAAGTGTGATACATAAATAATGATGATGATTGAAATAAAGGAACAAATAAACACGAAAACTAATTGTAAAATGTAATATACCTTCAATGCCTTTGGTTGATTACGTCAGAATGGCGCCGGGTTTTTTTTTTGTCTGATTCTCGTTCGGTGGTTCACTGAAGTGGCGGTTTTGGCGGCACTCAAAATGTAAATGTCAATTTTCTTATCCACAACATATAAATATTTACGATCGAATTAACACAAGTTTTGGTGACTTTTTGATTCGGGGGAGAAAAAAATCCGTGTACACTGTACACTATCAAACAATTTTCGGTTTTTTTTTTCTCTCTTGATGAAATGATCGTTTTTTCGATCAAAATGTCAAAGTTGTGTCTTCGATTTTACTTCTTCTCAAACTTGTTAGTTGGTTTTTATATTTTGAATGATGGTTGTCACTGTTTATGAATGCGCGCGTGTTTACACTGTTCTTATAACTGCATACACATATGTATGGTTTATTGGCATTTGGTCTTTTATTTAGTTGACACAATGTGTTTTTTTTTAATCTCTTCTCGTCGACGACTATTATGCTCGAGATACTCTCCGTTTGTTTGACAGATTGTATTTCGTCTCTTCACTGATTCGACAAATGGCTTGTTTATTATGTAATAAAATACTCTTCTTTCTTCTTTTTAAATGATTTTCTTCTTATATTCTGTTTTGTTTCTTCAAGTGTTCATTTTCTGGTTTTATTCAATGCTCTTTCTTCTTCGAACTGACTTTAAATCGGCATTTATTTTTTATTTTATTGAATCGTACGTTTAAATTATCAAATAATGTCCCGGATTAAAAATCAAATGCACCAACGATTTGTTTTTTTTTTTCATTCAAATTCAAACATGAAAATTTTATAAGTTCATTTGTGTCAATCACTAATACACATCGGTCCTGTTCACTTATTTAGCCTGTAATTTGTCTATATAATAATTACGGTTTATGAATACGTGTTTTTCGCTCTTGCTCACTCGCCTTTTTCTTCTTCTTCTTCTTTATATCTCGTCAATATAATTCTTTAGATTTTATTTTACATTTGATGCTAATTGCGCCACACATCATACACTGACTGGATACTCGAGCGTGTATTCAAATTCCAACTTTCTTGAACAGCAACAAAATGAACTAATATAAAATTATGCTTATTCGAGCCAACAGTTTGAATGAATGTCGGTAATGAAATTAATGCACATTTTTATAAGTCATGTAAAAATGTTTATTGCCGATTGTCGATTGCGTGCGGTTTCTCTCTCTCTCTCTCTCGCTCGTTCTCTCTGTCTTTATCTATTCTCGTCTATATATCGCGCGCTCGTCGTTCTCCTGCTCTATCTTTCGTTTCGCATATCTGTTTTTCGTATTTGGTTTTAGTTTTGTTGCTCTTTTTCTTTTTTATTATTTCGGTTAGAGACCGTTAGACTTGGTCGTTGATTATGACTGAATACAGTAAATCATGTGATCGAATTGATCCAATTACTTGATAAGTCGTAAGTTCTTATTAGTTATATGTTCATTTTGATATTTTATTCTCGTTGTCTTTGATGAATTCTTCTGCTGGCGTTTGTTTGTTTGTTTGTGTGTGTGTGCCCGTTGTTTTTCTCTTCTCTTTTCATACGGTTTTTCATTTGATATTTCAAAATTTCAAATTAACGAATTCGGACGAATTTTATCGTGTCCGGAATGGCAAACAAACGAACCGAGACATAAAACATAAACGGAACGAAAAAAAAATCGGAACAAAACACTGAGAGACATTAAATGGATGTGTATGAAACTGAAAGCGATCAAGAGTCAGGAACAGGACAATATGAACAATAAAATGAAGAAACAAAACGACACACAACACAACAACGGTGTTGATGACGGTGGCTGCCTAACGGTGTGACGATGTCGTCGACGACGATTACGACCTAACGACGACTACGACGACGATATGACAACAACAACAACAAAAAGCACGCGGACTTCGAGATTCACATCCGTTCTATTTGACGAAGCGTCGTTAACTGACTGTAACATTGATTCATAATTTTCTATTTTCCCATTTTTAGTTTTAAGACCGTTCCGTCGGTATGTATGGTACCACTTCGAAGTGCGAATGAATAAGTGTGTATGCGTGTTTATGCATGTATATATTATTCGTGTGCGCTCCGTTTCGTCGTCGAACCTATGTACTGCTGCTGCTGCTGCTGCCGTTGTTGCTGCTGCTGCTGCTGCCTGCTCCATGCACAGTGTGTTTGTTCTCGGCTCGTTGAATGCTTTTGCCTTTTGTTTTCGGGGCCGAGGAGTTGTGAGTATTGTAACTCGCTGCCGTTGCTTCCTCAAATCACTTGGCTTTAGACTTGTGCCGCTGCTGCTGCTGCTTCTTTCATTTGTTGTGTACACGTTACTTCTTTTTTTCATTGTTGTTGCTGCTGTTGTTTAATTCCTCGATGGCCTGTAGAAGTGGTTGTATACATGCATGTGGCCGTTTTGTTTTATTTCTCTCTTTTTTCATTCTTGCTTACTCGCTCGCCACTGCTTCTACTGCCTCATAAACTCACTTCTTACATCGTCCATGTGTAGTGACGAATATAATTTCTCCCGTTTAAATGTTTTAGTTAAATATGTTTATGTCTTTTTTGCCCATTGCTGCAGATCAAACACTCACACCCACACCGCTACGCGTGTATTCATCTGATGGCTCCTTCTTGCTATCCACACTCGCTGGCCTCGGCCAAATTTCGTATCAATTAACCAAAGTTGTGCAAACTTATTGCGACTTAAATCCTTGTGATGCAATGATTATTTGCATCACCCAACTCCACCATGTACGCAACAAATTCAATACGCCACTCTGGTTGCATCATTACTTCCGAATGCAAATTCAAATGATGTTTTAAAATCCTTCGGTTGCATGAATTGATATTAAACAATGTGCATTTTATCTGGCTTGAGCCTTCTTTGCACATGTCGTGTGTTTTTTTTCTTCTCATCACAAAGATCAGTTTTCCTTTCGACAGACTTGGTTCAATAATATGAGTCGCGCCACGTTTTTCTTTGTTTTGTCCACAAACTTCGAACAAGCATTTATAATACAAGATGTTTCCACAACAATTTCCATCCATTGTATTCGGGGAAAAGTTGCCAGAAAAAGCACTTATAAACGTTTTACATAGCAGACGGTGAGATTTTGATCTCAAGACGGCAAACGGGTCACACGTTGAACAACGTAGACAAAACTAAGAAAAAATTATTGCAAGAAAGTGTACACACAAAAAAAGCAACGAAGAAGTGAGCAAATGTTGAATTTTTCGCGTTTATTTACAAAAATACGTGCGAAAGTGTCAACAATGAGAGAGAGAGAGAGGCAACCAAATACCAACCACTGCAAATACTGTATCCTTTCTTCCAAAAATTGGATTCATAGTAAAAGCGAGAACAAACGAACGAGCGAACGAACGCACAAACATGACACAAAAAGCAGTTCGTTGCAAGTGAACGACTTGTTCAAGTGGCAAAAGTGTAAAATTGCCTATATGTAAACAACACGATTTTATAATGAACTTGTCGACTTGCACACTTTTTGTGTCAGCGTGCGCGAGAGAGCGGCAACTTGTTGTTTTAGTCAACGCTTTATATCCGAGAGAGAAAAAGAGAGAGATTTCGCTGCTTTTTCTACTTTCCCTAGACTGGAAACGATGACGATGACGACAGCGACGACGACGACGTTCAACGGGAACGGTCTATTTCTTTTCGCAAACATCTGTTCCATTGCCATTACTTTTTTTGTGTGTACTGTTGGTGCCGCTGGTGCTGCTGCTGCTTCTGCTACTACTACTCTCTTTCACTGTGTGCATTCAAACGCCGCCACTTTTCATATGCACGCGAACGCCAAAACGAGAAGTGATATGTCGACGGCAATTCGGAGATTCCATTCAACGTAAGGAATAAGGAATGTGCAATAATACATGAAACGGTGTTTCTGGAGCAAATTGACGTGGTCTTACTGGTACAATGAGTCTCAGGCGACGTTCAATACATCAACATTTTGTTTGCTTGCTTCCTCTCTATCTCTCTCTCTCAATCAAAACCGCTAGAGTTCTTATGTTGTTTACCATTTACCGTTTCGGCTTTCGCATCGAAAAAGGATACACACACAGAGAGAGAATGGGGATCATTGCTTTTGATTTCGATGACATGGATTTTCTCACGCTCTCGCGCTGTTGTTGCTTTTGTCGAACTCACAATGTGCTGTGTATTAATCATATACTGTCATATTTTTTCACGCTGGTGGCGCACCTAGCCCATGAATGGATGTACTATGGGTTAGCTAAACTATGTAACTGAATGTCAAGTTGGTTGTGTATGAATTTTGACAGAACTTCTGCGGCCATCACCTAGTTGCGCCAAATATCACATCGTTCCATAGACATTGTGAGTTCGCTTTTGTAGCATCATAACAATTTGTCATATCAGTGAGATAGATATCTTTTTCGGTCTGTTTTCGTCACTCAATGTTTTATCCAAAGCGGATCCAATAAAATCGGTCGGTGTTCATAGTCCTCTGGCTATTGTTCAGATAACGTCTACCATTCGCCGGTCTCTCTCTCTCTCTCCCTCTCCCTCTCCTTTCATTCACTTGTGTGAATCACACACATGTATGTAAATTGACCCATCGCATTCCGCTTAGATAAAACCATACACAATAGAAACGATGAGACACACGGCAAAATATGACCAGGACCACTCTTTCCTGAAACAAACACACACTCATACCACATGCCAAATGTTTCACATTAAAAGATAATTTCAATAGTTTTTGAAAACCTTCATCCTTGTTAATTATTCGTTATCTTCTGCGCAATATTATTCGAGGATAACAACGGTCAAGAGTCGACCGAATTGAAAATATATACGTATATATTGACGGCGAATTATGTTTATGACAAAAGTGCAGCAAGTATTATTGCCATTGAATAATGAACCCCTTTTTGTCATCAGAATCGTGCGGTTTGGTTTTTGGAATCGCAAACAATGACGAGTTTGACGGGTTTTTCGGATGGAAATCAACGAATTCACATGATGACAATCAAACATTGATGATGGCACGACAAGAGGTGAAAGTCAACTGTACGGATCTGTATCATCCGATTATATAATAAACTTATGTTCACAATGTGAACTTCATATTGTACTTCGGTCTTTATTGAGATCCTTTTTCTCGTCCGTAATCGAAACCAACGACCAATAGTTCAAACAATAAATATTTCGTTCCTTTTGACAGAACAAAAATTAGAAATATAAAGGGAATGTTTTAGATTCGTTTCCCAATTTTAAATGATTTGAGTTTTCTTGAAAATTACAGTGGCAAATAATTTCCTTGGGTCAAACCGAAGGACGGTTCGGAGAATTTTTAAATTTTGGTACAACAAATGTTTTCAAACAAAATGGTTTTTGAAAAATTCTTTTTAAAACGAAGAAAAAACAATTCTGTCAAAATTTTGAAAAAAATGTAAAAATGAGATTTTCCACATTTGACTATATGACATAACAAAGCGAAAAATCTAAAAATGGAATCTAACACGAATTTAGCTAGCTAGAAAGGACATTTCGAATTGGAGTTTTCTGCAGGATTTCCGGAAGATGCAGAATTCGTTGATTTCAAACGATTCAAACCCAAATGCGAAGCAAAATCCACCATTTGCAATGTGAAATGAAAACTCGTTCATCTCTTTACCGTACAGCAAATCGAAGCCAAACAGTCTCTGGTCCCATATCATGAAGTTTGAGTGTCTATTACATATTATGATCATCATATATAGAATTGTGGCGAAAAAAGGTTATCATCGCTTGCGCTAATTTAGTCAAAATTCATTGTTTACAATTGTCGGCAGAAAATGTTTAAAGATTAACCAGAAATCACATATAGAAAGGTAAACCGAAAGCGAAAACAATGCGTTTATTAGCATTTCGACAATTTGATTGTATACCGGGGTGTCTATTGTTTTGGATTTGAACTTATAAGCAAGCATTAGAATTAGAACACAATGCCTTATTAGATAATGACGATTTTAACGAGTTTACCATATCCAATGTAGATTGGATACATGGTATCGCTTTTGTTTCGACACCGATTGAACGAGATTGGGGCCATTCATTACTTTATCGTCAGCCAATCGAGGACAGCATACGTGGAAAAATCGAAATAAAATACGAAATAATCTGAATGTCAGGTAATCAAGTCCTCAAATAGGAACAAACATGTTGATACGAAGGTGAAGCTCTTTGTTTCGGTTCGGTCATAAAAACCCTTTCGCTCTCTCTCTCTCTCTCTCTCTCTCTCTCTCTCTCTCTCTCTCTCTCTTATTTTTTGCAAACACAATTGAATCGGTCGGAATCTTCTTTTCCATTTGCCACACAAAAAACATTCCCGAACCCTTTCGCCTGAATATCTCGTGTCCATCTCTCTCGGCATACGAATGACAAATTCCTAACTGCGTGCAAAATTGTCGTCGTCAAAAATCCTATTCCGAGAATGTGTGTGTGTGTTTGAATCGCAAATCTTTATCTTCACACTGGATGCTATAGTTCACACAAAGCATTTCAATGGTACTAAGCAGAGCAAAAAAAAAGTACCATGTTTCTGAATATGGAAATTAGATTAAAGATTTCCAAGCATTTGCATTTTTTTCTATTTTACATTTTTTCTTCCATTCCCGTCTCTCACTCTCGATCGCTCATTCTCGATTCGTTTTGTTCCCAGTTTTGCCTATTTTTGGATGAAAACGATTTAAAAATAAATACACAATGTCAATGGACAGTAAAAGTATGGAATTGACACTTCCGCTTCGATTCAATCAAATTCAACAAATATTCTAACGCGAGCGTGTTTTTTTCCTGAGAAAATTCCGTGATTTTTTTTTTTTCGTTCAGTTGAAAAAGATGAGTCCATCAAGTTGGTTTTTTTGTCTAATATTTGTTATAATTAAATATTTCATTAAATACATTGAAACAGGTAGC